GTACGGATCCACCGGTAACAATCCTCCACCGTACGGATCCACCGATAACAATCCTCCACCGTACGGCTCGCAACCTCCACCGTCCTCCGCACCTTCCGGTGCACCACCGTCTGCTCCGTACGCATCTTCTCTAGGAGATAACAAGCCACATAAAGACAACAAACTTCACGCTGCTTACGGATCTCCCGATGGTTACCGGTGCTCATCCACCGTTTGGATCTTCTGACTACGGTGGTTACGGATCGCAGTCGGGACATAGAGGTTACGGAACTCCTCCTCCTCCTCTACTCAGGGTTCTTTTGGAAGCCCGTTTGCGTCTCCTGCGTTTCTTCCCCGTACGGATCCGAACATCGTGGCTTGTTTACAGGCAGCGGATCGGGACGGTAGTGGTTTCATCGACGACAAGGAGCTTCAAGGCGCTCTCTCTCTCACTGCCATCCAAATTGAGTCGTCGCTGGAGATCGACAAGTTCACTTTGTTCAAAAATATGTGTAATAGGTAACAATGTTTATTGAAATATATTTAACTATATACAATATTTTTTCACTATAATAGTTCACTATGTCTCTGGTAATAGTTCATTATGTTCTTTTTCATTATGCAAACTATAATAGATAACTATATTTCTAATAATAGTTGACTCTGTATATTATTCTTGTTCATTATGCAAAATAAAATAGTTGACTATGTTTATTTAAATAAATAACTATTACAAATAATAACATTTTTATGTAGTTAACTATGTTATGAAATCGGTATAGTAGACAAATTATGCTCTGAACTAGTTAACTCATATGCTACTAACTATTATTTTTTAATTATGCAATGTATAGTTCACTATCACTATGTAAAATAGCTTACATGAATAGCTGAATATATATACATTCGAATAGTTGACTATATACATTCTTATTTTGTTACGAATTTGGGGAGAATCTCTCTCTGTCCAACCTGTTTAATGGAGTTATGAGATATTATTACTGATTTTAGCAATTAATGATATTTTTTGACTGATTTTTATAGATTTTCCTTCTATTTTCACAAAGATAATTTTGTCATAATTTTAATTCTCTCTTCTAGTTACCTAAATATATTTTAGGGTATGTTACTTACCTAATTATAGGTTCCAAAAGCAATATTAAACTAATTCACCCTTTGGCAAATTGACCCTTATTAAAATACAACTGTATTATTTTCGAAAAGATTTACAGTTTACCGATAAAGTTAGTATGTATACAATCTTTTAAGAAAATTAAATGTTGTGTATCCCTTATTTACAAAATTATATCAATTGTGTAAATAACATACATTAGGGTGGATAACGATCAAATATCTAAAATCTTTAGATATCCAAATTCGTCCGATCCAAGGAATAGTTATCCATATCCAGATTGTTAATACATGTGGATATAATTTTGCATGTTGATATAAGTTCTTAACATTAACGAATTTTAAAATTTAGCTACAATCTTGTATATATTTTCATTTTTTTAACTAATAATTGAAATATGAGATTTAAATGTGCGCATAATGCTAAACATATATCTAGTAAATGATATAGAGAATATATGTTCTTGAATGATCAATAACTAATTCATTTCTGTTTGAACTCGTATTTTTGTTAGCAACATATATTATACTAGTCTAAATTGATTGGTGTCGCAACAACGGTACCAATACAAACACATTGCATTTCTACCTTAATTCTTATAGTCAGAATAGCTTTAAAAGAATACGGGATAGTGTGACC